TTAAACCACTGGGCTCTGCGCGCCTCACGGTTTAATTACCATTTCAACGATTAGACACTGGGTCGTCTCTGCCTAACCTATACATATAGTGATGATCATAATGTCTTTTTCTTGAGGAATCTGTAATGAACTGTGTAGAGATATAAGAAACTGATCACTTTGAAAAATATGTCACAAAAATAAGAAAAACATTACGTGTGAAATAATTCACAAATACATGGCCAAGTCACAACACATGATGCGACATCCTCCCGCCCAGCGAGTGTGCTGAAACTGTGGCCAGTGACTGAAGCGGACGTAGAAGTTACCTGTTCACACTGTGTCTGTTGAACACTCAAGTGTAAAAATATCGTCAGCTTTTTCTGTCTTTATGTTTTTACAAAATTGTACAAGAAGAGTTTAGAACAGTAACAATGATAGTTTTATCGTGACATAATGAAGATACCTATGCGTTTTCCGGCAGCAAGTGTCTATTTCTGACTCCTGACGGCTGACCAGCTTAACTAACAACATGTTTTATGCAGTATCTATTTCATTGTCAATCCATACAAACATTTATGTAAAATATTTAAAATACCCATACAAATACTTTCACAGTGAAATTATTCGTATTTTAGCCACAATAACGATGAAACTCACAGACAGACGAACATGACAGCCGATCGTTCAGTGCGGTGTTTTGTAAACATTGAAACGAGGTTCACAATGAGCTGCTCCATTTGTTATCTGAAGACAGGAAATTTGGTAAACTGTAAACAAAATGTATATTTCTAGGTCCTGAACTACAACTGGACGCTGCTCGAGACAACACAGACTTCTGCCACGTAACTACAGACGGTGAGCTGGTCAACTCGCCGCCCGCCATACGACACAGCGACAGAGGCATGTTACAGACATACATGGGCACCTGTATTTCCACCCCCATCCCCCTTCCTCCACACCCCTCTAATGTCACCCCTGCCCCACACACACTACGATACTGGGAGACCCACTCCAGGGTGGGTGTGGTGGGTAAATGGTATGAAGGGCTTGTCCTGGAGATGGGTGTGGGGGAGGAAAGCCAGGTGGAAAATAAATGGTATATTTGTGAACAGCCCCGCTCCTGGTGTGTTGGTGTAGAGGGCTGTGCCACACACCGGGGGAGTATCTGTACCTGGGTGTATCAGCATGGGAAGTGGGGGGAGTGTTACAGAAACACAATGTCTCACACACCCGGCACACAGGCCACTCTCCACTATGGCGTTGTGCTGGATGTGGGGAGGGGGAGACTCGGCTTCATGGACCTCGACAGGGAGATTGTTTTGGCCAAGTTGGATGTTGAGTGGAGGGAGTCTCTTCTCCCCATGTTTAGTGTTGGGCCGCCAGGTGACTGCACAGTCAACATGAAGGTGGTCAGCGGGGTGGACATCACCATGACTGACTCCAAGAAGTCACTTATTTATAACGCCCTCGCATAGGAAATAAAATAAACATGACATTGTGTAAACTTGTAAGTGTGACATATTTATTTAAACTGTCAAAAGTAATGTGATTGTATTGATTGAGGCGGACATAGAAGTTACCTGTCCATGTGCTGTTTGTTGTGTACAAGAATGTAACAAGGTTAGCTAAATGTGTTGTTTTTCTATTTGACTGGTTTCTGTGGTGTATAAGAAACATTTTGCATCCTCACATGAGTATTGTTATGAATATGAATCTGTGGTAATCGATCAGTTGATCACACATTTCCTACATTTCTGGGAAATGGCACAACAAACGACTGAGTGCACAGATTCATCAAAAGTTGTTACAAATCATGAATTTGTTGACATGGTCCGTTTCTTCTCTGTAATATAATTGTTTTAAATCCCAACATGAATAGTGTTGTGCTGAAAGTATTGCAGTTGTGCCGCCACATTGCCACATTTGATGTCGGTGAAGAAATGGGATGAAAGTGATTGAAGCGGACATAGAATGTACCAGTGTACATGTGACGTGTGTACAGAAACGCAATCAAGATGGCAGAATGTTTTCTCTAATTTGTTACTTTTTGGTGTCTTTCAAGCCTATTTTGAATCTCCACATCCACACTTATACAGATCAATTGAAGCAGAAAAATAAGAATACAACCTTGATACAAGTCGGTAACAAAATGAAATGTCATCAATCAAGTTACAGTCTGTTAGTGGCCCAGTCGTCTAAGGCGCAGCGATTCGCTGTGATGAGTTGCGTCCATTAGGCACGCCAGAAATCTATGATTGTGGGTTCGAATCCCGGTACGCCCCAATTATGTTTCTAGGTTTGTCAGCACCATACCCGTGCTCGAGGGTTTCACCGAAGTGGTAAACGTCTGAGAACTGTATCACTTCGGGCTTTCCTCTCACATCAAGCTGACACGCCTTGATATAACTGGAACACTGTTAAAAACGGCGTTAAACCCAACTCACTCTTTCACTGTTAGTGGACATGGCCCTCAGTTTTCTCCGGTTTATGGAAACACCAAGTATGGAATCACTTGCAATTATCGTTTAACAGTGCATGTATAAAACATTGTATAATTCCGCTTTCTTTTGCGGTAAACAGACGTTCAGAAACAATCTTGAAGCAACGTGTACGTCAGGAAAATAACAAAACCTCAGTAGAACTGTAAGTATGTGGAACATTGCCATGGATAATATACTAATATTTTCCCTGATTTGTTCGCCTTAGCGACGGATTATATATGGGAACGTCTCAGTGATCTTGATCTTGAATTGGATATAATGCCGCTTCGAAATGTGTTTTATCATTGCATGTCAGTTTAATATGGCGTTAGAAAGACCAAGTCATGCAAGTCTTAGATGTTTACGGCTTAAGTGAAATCCACGAGTTCAGTGCTGACCGACCAAGGGACTTAATCAGGGTGAACTGGGTTTCTTGCAGACAACGAAGGGGTGCCAAATACTGTGCAAATATTATAAAACTACATTTTCCATTTACCTTTAAAATTGTATGCAATAAAACTGTGTCTGTTAAGTTTTTGTCTGTTTTGTTTTTAACTAATATCTGGTTTTAATGCTATCTCACAGTTGCCCAGTTACAGCCAGCTAAAACACGGTCTTTTGAGACTGGTAAGTCATTATAGGCGGATGGAGGTGGGCGGGGTGGATTGGCGAGGGAGGGGATTTAGGTGATGTGTTGGTCACACACCCCAATGTTACGTAACATGTTGTTATGGCTCCCAAATACATGTAGCATCTTCCCATGCCCGCCCCCTGTAATAAATGACCAGTCCTCACGTAATGTTCAAATGTATACGTTTTCTTATTTGAAATAAATAGCACTGTCTCATTTTGTATGACCTCCTCTCAGGCTCAATCTCACCAGCCCCCTCTCCCCTACAATAAATTAGTAGTCCCATAAGCGAAAGACTTCCTTCAAAATATAGGGCTAGGTTTACAATTTATCATGATGTGTCACTTTTTTTCAGGAAAGTCCGATTTCTTATGTTGAGCCGATTACATAGCCCCACTTCCCGCATAGACTCACTTTAGCCAACCGCTGTTTTCCTACTTTCACAATCGAGCCTGTTTGCCCAACACTCTTCCTGATGAATCTAAATCCTTCATGGTGTGTTCACTGTGAAAATCTTACTGGTATAAAAGTACATAAAAGAGATCTACTACAGACTACGTTCGCTGGTATCTTATGTGAGTTTACTGGAGCCCCGGCTGCCGGTTTGCCTTTTTTGTCCTCAGGCTCTATTTTGTAAGTATAAGTCTTTGTTAACAATAGTCCTTTATTTGCTGTAAAATTGAAAAGCAAAGAACCGGAATCGGGTTTATATTAAACAACACGAAATTGATACTGTTTTGTAGTTTGTATCCCTTGCGACAGCATATATGACCCAAGAAAACTACATATTGCGCAGTGGGATAGCTGGCAGAATCGGTGTAAGGGAGATAACTCTGTGAGGACTTGAGGCCATGAGTGAAACTTGGTTTTTCCCATGCATTCTGTTTTCGCTTATTAAAGAACTGAAATTACCAAGTCGTAAATATATCTTTGTATGTACCTGCACAATCGAAAAAAAACATCAGTTGTGTGCCTCTGTTTCTAACTATTTTATCATTTTAATGGATAACGTGAGTGAGTATGGTTTTACGCCGCTTTTATCAATATTCAGCAATATCACGGCAGGGGAAACCAAAAATGGCCTTCACACACTGTACCCATGTCGGGAATCGAACCCGGGTCTTCCCATGTCGGGAATCGAACCACTAGGCTAACCCGGCGTCCCCTTATGGATAACGATTCTTAAGAAATGAGTGACGAGTATAATTTTCATTTCTGGTGTCCTCCGCCGTGATGTTGCTGTAATATTGCTTAAAGCGGGGTAAAATTCAAATCACTCATTCTGATTCAACATATGGCGTCGCATATGAAGACCCATGTCATATAAGGAAAGCCATATATTTCGTTTTCATCATGTATTCAATAAAGCTGATATTTACTTTTTAAAGTACTTCAAGAAGCATGATTGTTACCATGCTGATTATAAAGAGTGACTACCGCGATATAACTGAACTGTTGACTGAGGCATAAAATAATATTACCTCACTCATTCACTCACTCACTTTTTAACTCACTCTGTCACAAGGTAACTTTGTGTATCATTACCCCCGTGTTTGCTTCAGGCTAGGCTCACTCATTCACTCACTCACTTTTAACTCTCTCCGTCACAAGGTAACCTTGTGTATCATTACCCCCGTGTGTGCTTCAGGCTCGGCTCACTCACTCACTCACTCACTTTTTATCGCACTCTGTCACAAGGTAACCTTGTGTATCATTACCCCCGTGTGTGCTTCAGGCTAGGCTCACTCATTCACTCACTCACTTTTAACTCACTCTGTCACAAGGTAACCTTGTGTATCATTACCCCCGTGTGTGCTTCAGGCTAGGCTCACTCATTCACTCACTCACATTTAACTCACTCCGTCACAAGGTAACCTTGTGTATCATTACCCCCGTGTTTGCTTCAGGCAAGGCTCACCACTCCGTCATTCATCATGGACATACTCCCTAAAGTTGTTGCTGCCACTGTACTTCTACTCAACATAGTCGTGGGGATCGGAGTTATCTGCCTTGTTGCGTCAAGAGAGGGCCACGATCATAGGACGGATACGCATATCAGCCAGTCGGAAATATTTAAGCAACGATTTGAGCGGGTAAGAGTTACATTACAGATTATCACCCCAACTCGCAGAGTTACGCACCCTTACTATGCGAGTATCCTCTGATTCCTAAGTTCTCCTCGATAAGGATCCATGGCCAGATACATGGTACTCGTCACTCATCAATGTGAACAAAATCGTCAATCATTAAGACGACTCCGTGATATGAGTGAAATAATGTTTAAAAAGGCAAGCGTTCATCAAAACCCACGTTGTCTCTATTCTGTTTCAAACATATGGTGTATATCTCTATTGCAGTCCAAGATTGACATGACTGCACTGAAGAAGTGGCCTCTTTTAATACATGGTTATAAGCTTTGGTTTGTTGTTTAACGCCGCACTCAGCAATATTCTGGAGCAGACAATCCACTGATTGACAACACGAGCATCGATCCACGCAATTGGGATCGATGACATACATCAACCAAATCAGTGAGCCTGATCACCCGATCCCGTTAGTCGCCTCTTACGACAAGCATAGTCGCCTTTTAGGGCAAGCATGGATTGCTGAAGACCCTTCTACCCCGGATCTTCACGGGTCATGGAGACCGCCTCTGTGGTCTAGTGGTTCGTTCCCCGGCCGCGTCATACCCAAAAGACGTTAAAAGATGGTATTTGTTGTTACCCTGTCTGCTGCTCGGCATTAAGGGGCTCAAAACAAGGACTGGTCGGCTCGGAGTCAGTATACTGTGTCTGAGTGGGATATTCATGTTAAACTGCGGCATGGTATCTCAGTCCGGACTAGTACAAGCAGCCACACAAACACTCACACGTACATGCACGTCGCTATATAAGTGCAATAATCTTGGACGTGACGTTAAACCCCATTTCACCTCACCTCACCCCACGGGTCATGGTAATAAGCATGATTGCTCTATCAAGACTGATATGGGCACTGGATAATGGAACATAATCCCTCATTACTTCAAACGAATTCACCAACCCGAATTTGAATGCGAGATATGCTTAAAATCCGTTTGACAATGCACCAATAAAAAGCTGGTCGAAAGTTTTTAAGCAACATCTTGATTGAATAAGATTAATATAAGATTATATAAAAGCTATGCATCAATAAAATGCCTAACTTACCGGGGCGCTTTATCTCGATCAATTCTCTACTATAGATCTACGCTGAACATTCGCAGAAAGCCTGGGACAAGTTCGCCACTGCAGGAACAGGTGAGCATATACCGACACACACAGCTGCCACAGACGCCATGATTGAAATAACCATAGAGGAAAACACACAGTATACATCATGCTAATTACGGCGGACACAGATGGACCACACTTTTGTATTTGCTTGTGGATTGGAGCACCCCTGAAACAGTTTGATAGGGAAACACAAAATTAAAAAAACTATATTTGTATTTTTGGACCGTTTTCTGATTAATACAATAGGCCGTTTTCAAAAATAAAATATATAAAAATCGTGAACAATTTTCAGTTACGATAAATTAATTAACCTTTATGTTTAACAAAAATACAGAAAACATTGGTGGGGGTTAATTCAACTTTTGTCACTGTTAGAGATACTGATGATACAAGAAAAATAACGCCCCCGGATACACCCACACAGTTTTTTAGCGTATCTTTAACGAAACTGGACATTTTTCAAGCGGATTCGCCTCTTTTAAATGTACATTGTACGTACATAAACACGGGCACGCCATATTGTAAAGCAAACGGTATGGACGATGGCGGATAGGAGTTCCCTCCCTGGGCGCCAGTAAAGCATAAAACGAAATCGCTTTCTTGGATTTGAGTCATTTGTAATCATTTACAATTTTGTACATAAATTGCTTTTAATGTACAGGATAACATTTGTTTCTCTCTTTTTCGTGCTGTCATATTTTTGGCAAATTCTTTCATCAATATATTTACTGTGAAAAATAATCTGAAGTTTTATTTCTTTTCAATTTGTTCGTTTTGAAAGTGATACGAACTAACCGTCGCCAATGGGTCACATTTACCTGTGTGCTGTTGCGTCAATAAGGCGTTCCAGGAACCCTTGATCCTAGATCGATTCCTTGTTCGCCTTGATTATATTTCTGTTTTTGTCTGCACCCTTCTCGTGTATATGTGTACAGTGAACCCCTCTTAATACATGGAGTGTCGTTCCCAGTCAATCAACAGTCATCACCAGAACGAGTAGTTTCCGAACTATCGGGATTTCACGCTAATTTAAATAACGCATTCCTTTTCGCATTGACTCCATATCTTCGTCTCATTTGAAGACGCACTCACATACACACATATACACATATATGTTTAATTATGTATAAATATGTCAACCTGTTGCAGACAAGGGACAACCGAGTTCATCTCCAGCCTTTCTGAATCTGCTGAAACCCATCGCATATTTCCCTGGACTTGACTTCACCGGCTATACAGAAGGTATACATGGACCCATGTCATATCACAGCATGCACATGTTGTCTTACAATGAAGTAATACTTTTATCATTGCATTGTAGATTATTAATGAATACTTCATCACCAAGTTCGTTTCTTCAGATTGATACTCTTTGTGAAGCCACCTTTGGGAATAATTTACAACCAAATTGTATTTGTATACTTGTATTCATAAGCTTTGGTTGGGCGGTCGGGTAGCCTAGTGTTTTAAAGCGTTCGCCCGTCACGCCGAACACCCGGGTTCGATCCTCGACATGGGTACAATGTGTGAAGCCCATTTCTGGTGTTCCCCGCCGTTATATTGCTGGAATATTGCTAAAAGCGGCGTAAAGCCATACTCACTCACTCCAGAAAAATGACACCTTATTAAGAGGGAACTAAATGTGTACTAAAAACGTGACTTCGATATTACATTTCAGTAGACACATCTGAGGAAACTGCGATTAGAAACTGGGTACCTTTTGTCGGACCTGGAAGACAACTTTTCTACAACGGGATGAAGTATAAGAATGGCAGCATCACTGTGCCCGCCACTGGAGTATATGCCGTATATAGCCACATCAAGTTTTACACAGAAAAAAATAATCATGACGATCCTGAGTCTGATTTTCATCATAATATAACACGGTACAGTGCACTGAAGCAAGAGGCAGAAACCGTATTGATGAATGTCATCAGCGAGAACAAAATTAGCATCATTGATGGAGCAAGTCTGGAGTACTCCAGTGATGTTCATGGATTGGTGCAGCTGGTCGCTGGTGATCAGCTGATGGTGAAAGTATCAGGGATGAATCCACTGAGACATGACAGGGACTGGCATTATTTTGGAGTATACAAGGCCTGACTTGACAAAAGAGTCCATGCATCTTTAGGGACCCCTGTTCGAACAGACCAAAGTATCCAAAGCTATTACTTGTGATAGATACATTTCAAATAAAACACTTCAGCGACCTTTACAGTCCTAAATTTGAGTTTTGTTTCAAATTCTCCGACCATATCTGATGGTCTATGTCACAACATCTTGGGTTAGATAAAGACAAGAAATAGCTAACATTACAAACATCCTGATAAAGTCATACTGACAAGAAGCCGTATTTGAATAAGATATTCTTCACATTAACTGCCCAACAATTATATCCTTATTTGCCAAAGTCGGCTGATGTAGATAAATCTGTTTGGATATAACGTTATCTCATTGATAATATAATCTAATCCAATATTTTACATACTGATTTGCTTGAAGTAGAGATCGTCCCAACTCTCCTAGGGCTACCCTTTTGGTCGGGACCCGTGAAGATTCCGGGGTAGAATAGGTCTTCAGCAACCCATGCTTGCCGTAAGAGGTGACTGTGCTTGTCATACAAGGCGACTAACGGGATCGGGTGGTCAGGCTCGCTGACTTGGTGGATGCATGTCATCAATCACAATTGATTGGATCGATGCTCATGATAATAGTCACTGGATTGTCTGGTCCAGACTCGATTATTTGCAGACCGCCGTCATATAGCTGGAATATTGCTGAGTGCGGCGTTAAACAACAAACCAACCTTTGGGTCGGACTTCTATTCAAAGATGTAATAGTTTCAGAACACCCATATGCAATCTGTTTACATCAGTGTGATGGACAAAATACCTTTCATTTCCATATGTGAAAAAAGGTGATACTGTACGTCACATTGTTTGGCAATCTTCCCGAGGCAATGGGGATTAACTGACTTTAAAAGTCCAGTTTCCACCCCTGCTGAACTAGGCTGGAATTTATGGGTTCGATCGTAGCACCACCAGTGGCTATAACGAATTATGTCCCTTATATGCCCCTCCTGTTGACCAATCAGATGACACCTCTCATATGATATGAAGCATCTGCTTCAAACAAAAAATGGCGGCGATCTGATCGATGATCAGAATTTATAATGTAATAAAACAGGTCTTACTTCGCAAAGTACATCATATCTCGTAAGCACTTAAAAACGTGAAAAGATTTGAAAGATATCTGTTGACGCCGTGTTGTTGGTACACATGCTTTGCAGATCCTGCAATCGACCGAAATCTGCACGGCAGTTTACTTATCGGATGCCGACTTCGTTACGCGATTTTGATTGGATTGTGCATAGACCCGTTAGTCAAGCCAAAATAAAACGCCATTCGGCTAGGGTGGAAACAGGCTAGACAAAGTGTGTTTGGCAGCATAATTTGAACATTCAAGAGGAAGTGGTAACTGTTTTCAAGTGGGTAATTGGAGGAACAAGCAAATCACCTCACATTATATATGTATTACGAATTAACACAAACATGGAAACGTAAGTATTTGTCATATAATGGGTAGGTTTCTTGGCAGCATAAAGCCAAGGATCGCTAAATACAATGTTTATTCCTAATATAGGACATTTACCATCCCCCCAAACCCTCGAGTGATAACTTGTCCCATGTCCAGACGTGATGCACGTAGCGCATTTCGAACGAAAATGCCATAACCATCCGTTTTAGATACCGCCCTTGTTATGTTGTGGTGGAAACAACGGCGTACTTGTAGAGCAGAGCATGGGCCACAGCAAAAACTGGCACGGACGGTCAAAGGGAGCTAACTCTGTGAGGGTACCCAACAAACATTTATATAGGTTACACACAGTCAACTGTTTTCCCATAGACTTCTATAGTAAAGTGATATTTGTTTAAAATAACTAGGCATTCAACAGCAATTACATGAACATGTATGCCCATTCTGGCCTTAAAGCTGTAATAAAAACACACTTTGGCTAAATCAGCGAGTTCCTTTTCCGAGTACAGGTAAAATGCATATCTAGAAAGTATTTGTTTAACATATGCAATCAACTTTTCATTCAAGAGATATTCTTCAAATAAGAAGGAGATTAATATATTTGAAATATCTTTTGTATGTGAATATGTTCAACAATATTGATGGTTATTTACATCATAGGGAATTATATCTTTAGCCCATGTCAATTGGCGCAATTGCTATGGTATTTTTTTTTCAGCTATTCTAATTAAATTCCCCAAAAGCAGAAGCAGCTGACAGCACTCCCAAGGTAGAAACTGAAAGACAAAACTGAATAATTCTGTGTCTTTTACGTGAAACTGACATACACTCTTCAAAAACAGAAACGCATTGGAGATAATGAGAATGCTGATTTTGTTTATTCATGAAACACTAACTACAAATACAGTCGTTAACTGGTGTAGTGCACATATGCATCCGTTTTAAACGTCTGTAGCTTTATACGAGCATGTCATGGAAAGGAAAGTAATAGTTTTGACAATCATGTGTCGTGAGAATGATTATAAAAAGTCAAACGTCAATCAACATTTTGTCATACGTTTGTCGACGTTTGGAACCGGGAAAATGCCGAGACTGACTGCTGCAAATCACAACATCGCCACATTACGCCTTGAAGCTGGAGAGTCCCAGTCGGCAGCTACACGCCAATTCAACGTACACCAATCTCGTTTATGGGATCCGAATGCCCGCCTCAGTTTAACCCAAGGTGTTCTTAGAAGTGATAGACCAAGAGGCACCACCCTGCACCAAAAAGGTTATTTCACCTACGCCATCGCCATGCAACTGCCATCGGTATAAACGTATCGGACTAAACAATCAGGAATCGTATGCGATTGGTGGGAATAAGACCATGAAAACCGGTATGTGTCCCTGTCATTCAGGAGACGTTTCCATCGACGACAACGTATGCAATGGAGCAGCCCCGTATGGGCATGGACTCTGAGAAACTGGCGGCGACTCTGGTTCAGTGTGGCATCACGATTTCTCGAACAACCCCGAGATGGAAGACGTCGAAATGAACGTTTAGCACCGAACAGCGTTTTACAGGTCGACAGATTCAGTGGCTGAATTGTGATGGTGTGGGCATCACGCCATCATCGGCACCCTCACCCGACGTGCCAAATTCATTTGCCATCCTAATGCCTTCACCTGAAACATCTGATCTGAACCATGTGACGAAAACCTTTACTTCCCTCTACAGTTACCCTGCCCATCTAATCTCCAAAACCACCAACAAAATCCTCAAGAACTCTGAACCAAGAACATGGCCTACCCCATCGCCAATCATACCCCACCAAAGCCCTGTCGCGTTTACGCCTCATCAAGAACAAAGCCAATATAAATTCCCCCTTTCCTAGCGGCAAGACCATCTAGACACATCTACGGACTAATGGAAGAGGCACAAGTTGCGCAAGTCCCAATGCCAGAGGGTGTATATACAAGATCTTATGCATCTGTAGCCACCAATACACTTGAGAACCCTCAGACCCCTTAACCCCAGACTCAAAGAGCATCGGATGTCACTCAACAAGACCATACTGTCACGTGAAAGTTGATATACGCAACAAAATCTCAATCATTTTTTTTCAGTTTACTAACCTATGAAATGGAACATTCTATCTATTCATTATTTCTGCCCATGGTATAGTCGAAATTTAAGGATAGGATCAATCTAGAAATGATGTTTGTTCATTAAATACTCTCAACATCTAAAACCAAAATAAACTATATTCATTTCGCACAGAAATATCCAAGAAATGTGTGAATCATCGTACTCACAACATCTTCAGTGGGATGAACATCAGTATTTTCAACAGCAATAGTCATGTCCCAAATGTCGAGATATACCACCTGATCATAGAGACCAACGAACTCCTGTTTGATGATGTTTTCATAAATAGGTCCCCATAGCCCATCTAGAGTATAGTTGGTTATGGGATGTATATAATTGTGGGGTCCTTTTATGGCTATTTTAATATCAGGTGATCTTTTCAATAATTTTTGTATTGAAATCCGTGTACGTTTCATTTGAGATCTAAACATGTGTACCGGAAATAGATTAAAATGAGCGTAAAGATTAATAAGGATAATGTCTCGTGAACCTGCAGGTGTCTCATCTAAATGGACGAACACGGGTCGACTTGCAGTTCTGTTTGCATTTTGAAATGACATTGGCAGACCATGAGGAATCCAAACAACAGTAACGTTATGTTGTTTCTCATAGGCCTCAGTGTAGTAGTAACGCTTCTGTGTTGTTGGTATAGGCCCAATTAACCACGGTCCAGTTCTCATGGTAAGATTCAACCTTTTGTATAAGACTGTAAACCATTGTCTGACGGTCGAGTCACCATACATCCTGAGTGATCTGTTGGCCAGGCATTGGCTATAGTCATTCGTAGTTATGGTGTTAAAACATCCCCGTTGTCGCCATGTGGAGTTGTAGAAGAATCCAACAGGTGATGGTGTCGTCCAGGTGTCACGGAATTGCTTCCTTCCACATGGAGCTGAGGAAGACACTATCGCAGCTTTCACTGAAATGTTGAATTACTGTTGTTTTCATACATGTACTTAATCTCTACAGTTCGTCTTCTCTTTTCACAGAGAAAAACGTGTGACTCGATCTTGAGAGCAGTGACCGATCAAATATCCAGTCTCTACCAAAAATGCCACCCCTACTTTGAATCTTAATTTTCTTTTCTCACAATTAAAATGCGAAGCTGATTATACTGTTTTATTCCTATTCCCCCATTACTTAAATTCAAACCCATTTCTATTATAATTATAACCAAAATGCATTTGATGATTAATATTAGTTCATTCACAATGATTAATATCAGCTAATAAACTGGCATTATGGTAGAGTATTATTCATATTAAAATATAGGTTATGCCAGAACTATAAATTAATTAGAAGAGCTATCGTGTACATCTGAAGTATAAATATCATGAAAACAAAATAACGTAAATTACTTTGGAATTTGCGTTTAGGTTTTGGTCAGTTGGGTTTTGTGTTTGATTTGGGTCAATTCATGTAGGGGTTTAAGGTTGGACATATATTTTGTTTTTCTGCTGACACCAACTTCAATTTAGTAGAAAGAATGTTGCAGCAAGAGGGCCACGAATCCCTAGCACCCCACATAAATGTTTACTTGATTGTATTTGTGTGTGTATGTGTGTGTGTGTGTGCGTGCGTGCGTGCGTGCGTGCGTGCGTGCGTGCGTGCGTGCGTGCGTGCGTGCGTGCGTGCGTGCGTGTGTACGAAACCATTGTTAAAATACATACCAGAGGAAATACGTATTGGGACCCACTCCACCAATTTCTCAAAAGAACACCTGAAATGATAAAGCACTTTATATCAAGAATGAATTTGTCTACAAACATAACCTGCTAATGGCACAGGAAATAATATCCGACGAATGGAACGGCACCGAGTGAGTGAGTGAGTGAGTGAGTGTGAATTTTCGCCGAAATGTTCCAGCAATATCACAGCAGGGGATATCATCAATTAGTTCTCCACAATATTTCCATTCCCACTTCCGAATGTTTTAGCCTGTGGTCGATCACACTGTTCCACAGCGTCATCTTTGCGCCAGCTCCTGCATA